TGTCTATATACGCCGGGATCCGGAGTCATGGATGATCCTGCGCTCCTGTGTCCTGCATCGCGAGCCCTGTATCTTGAATTGTGGCTGTGGTCCTGGATCATAGGTCCTGGATGGATATCCTCGTGGATTCATCTTCCTATTATACACACATGCATTTCCAAACATTTGGACTACCTATGTTGCAAATGTATTATCTTTTCAATTTACACACGGCATCTATTGCACGTCTGTCCGTCCTGGGAGAGGGATCCCTCCTCTGTATCCCTCCCTGAGGTTTCTCCCATTTTCCCCTTTAAACTGTGGGTTTTCTTCGGAAGTTTTTCCTTGTACGATGTGAGGGTCTAAGGACAGAGGGTGTCGTATTGTCATACTGATATTTTGTACAAACTGTAAAGTCCACTGAGACAAATGTAACATTTGTGATATTGGGCTATATAAATAAACATTGATTGATTGATTGATAGCACCAGGAGTCTAGTACCAGGAGTCTAGCACCAAGAGTCTAGTACCAGGAGTCTAGTACCTGGAGACTAGTACCAGGAGTCTAGCACCAGGAGTCTAGCACCAAGAGTCTAGTACCAGGAGTATAGCAGCAGGAGTCCAGTACCAGGAGTCTAGCACCAATAGTCTAGCCGCAGGAGTCTAGCACCATGAGGCTAGTACCAGGAGTTCAGTACCAGGAGTCTAGTACCAGGAGCCTAGCACTAGGAGTCTAGTGCCAGGATTCTAGTACCAGGAGTCTAGTACCAGGAGTCTAGCACCAGGATTCTAGTACTAGGAGAGTCTATTACCAGGAGTCTAGTACCAGGAGTCTAGACTAGTAGTCTAGTATTAGGAGTCTAGTACTAGGAGTCTAGCACTAGGAGTCTAGTACCAGGAGGCTAGCACCAGGAGTCTAGCACTAGGATTCTAGTACTAGGAGTCTAGCACTAGGACTCTAGCACTAGGAGTCTAGTACCAGGAGTCTAGTACCAGGAGTCTAGTACCAGGAGTCTAGTACCAGGAGTCTATTACCAGGAATCCAGCACCAGGAGTCTAGTACTAGGAATCTAGTACCAAGGATATAGTACCAGGAGTCTAGTACCAGGAGTCTAGTACCAGCAGTCTAGTACCAGGAGTCTAGTACCAGCAGTCTAGCACCAAGAGTATTGTACCAGGAGTCTAGTACCATGAGTCTAGTACCAGCAGTCTAGTACTAGGAGTCTAGCACCAAGAGTCTAGTACCAGGAGTCTAGTACCAGGAGTCTATTACCAGGAGGCTAGAATCAGGAGTCTAGAACCAATAGTCTATCACCAAGAGTATAGTACCAAGAGTCTAGTACCAGGAGTCTAGTACCTGGAGTCTAGTACCAGGAGATTAGTAGCAGGAGTCTAGCACCATGAGTCTAGTACCAGGAGTCCAGTACCAGAAGTCTAGTACCAGGAGTCTAGCACTAGGAGTCTAGTGCCAGGAGTCTAGTACCAGGACTCTAGCACCAAGAGTCTAGTACCAGGAGTCTAGAACCAATAGGCTAGCACCAAGTGTATAGTACCAAGAGTCTAGTACCAGGAGTCTAGTACCTGGAGTCTAGTACCAGGAGTCTAGTAGCAGGAGTCTAGCACCATGAGTCTAGTACTAGGAGTCAGGTACCAGGAGTCTAGTACCAGGAGTCTAGCACTAGGAGTCTAGTGCCAGGAGTCTAGTACCAGGACTCTAGAACCAGGAGTCCAGAACCAGGAGTCTAGCACCAGGAGTCTAGCACCAGGAGTCTAGCACCAGGAGTCTAGTACCAGGAGTCTAGTACCAGGAGTCTAACAACAGGAGTCTAGTACCTGGAGTCTAGTAGCAGGAGTCTAGCACCATGAATCTAGTACCAGGAGTCCAGTACCAGGAGTCTAGCACCATGAGTCTAGTACCAGGAGTCCAGTACCAGGAGTCTAGTACCAGGAGTCTAGCACTAGGAGTATTGTACCAGGAGTCTAGTACCAGGAGTCTAGTACCAGCAGTCTAGCACAAAGAGTATAGTACCAGGAGTCCAGCACCAGGAGTCTAGTACTAGGAGTCTAGCACCAAGAGTCTAGTACCAGGAGTCTATTACCAGGAGGCTAGCAGCAGGAGCCTAGAACCAATAGTCTAGCACCAAGAGTCTAGTACCAGGCATCTATTACCTGGAGTCTAGTACCAGGAGACTAGTAGCAGGAGTCTAGCACCATGAGTCTAGTACCAGGAGTCCAGTACCAGGAGTCTAGTACCAGGAGTGTAGCACTAGGAGTCTAGTGCCAGGAGTGTAGTACCAGGACTCTAGAACCAGGAGTCCAGAACCAGGAGTCTAGCACCAGGAGTCTAGCACCAGGATTCCAGTACCAGGAGTCTAGTACCAGGAGCCTAGGACTAGGAGTCTAGTGGCAGGAGACTAGTACCAGGACTCTAGAACCAGGAGTCCAGAATCAGGAGTCTAGCACCAGGAGTCTAGCACCAGGAGTCTAGTACCAGGAGTCTAGCACCAGGAGTCTAGCACCAGGAGTCTAGCACCATGAGTCTAGCACCAGCAGTCTAGCACCAAGGGTATAGTACCAAGAGTCTAGCACCAAGAGTCTAGCACCAGGAGTCTAGTACCAGGAGTCCAGCACCAGGAGTCTAGTACTATGAGTCTAGTACCAGGAGTCTAGCACCAGGAGTCTAGTACCAGGAATCTAGTACCAGGAGTCCAGAACCAGGAGTCTAGCACCAGGAGTCTAGTACCAGGAGTCTAGTACCAGGAGTCTATTACCAGGAGTCCAGCACCAGGAGTCTATTACTAGGAGTCTAGTACCAAGAGTATAGTACCAGGAGTCTAGTACCAGGAGTCTAGAACCAATAGTCTAGCACCAAGTGTATAGTACCAAGAGTCTAGTACCAGGAGTCTAGTACCTGGAGTCTAGTACCAGGAGTCTAGTAGCAGGAGTCTAGCACCATGAGTCTAGTACCAGGAGTCCAGTACCAGGAGTCTAGTACCAGGAGTCTAGCACTAGGAGTCTAGTGCCAGGAGTCTAGTACCAGGACTCTAGAACCAGGAGTCCAGAATCAGGAGTCTAGCACCAGGAGTCTAGCACCAGGAGTCTAGTACCAGGAGTCTAGCACCAGGAGTCTAGCACCAGGAGTCTAGCACCAAGAGTCTAGCACCAGCAGTCTAGCACCAAGGGTATAGTACCAAGAGTCTAGCACCAAGAGTCTAGCACCAGGAGTCTAGTACCAGGAGTCCAGCACCAGGAGTCTAGTACTATGAGTCTAGTACCAGGAGTCTAGCACCAGGAGTCTAGTACCAGGAATCTAGTACCAGGAGTCCAGAACCAGGAGTCTAGCACCAGGAGTCTAGTACCAGGAGTCTAGTATCAGGAGTCTATTACCAGGAGTCCAGCACCAGGAGTCTATTACTAGGAGTCTAGTACCAAGAGTATAGTACCAGGAGTCTAGTACCAGGAGTCTAGAACCAATAGTCTAGCACCAAGAGTATAGTGCCAAGAGTCTAGTACCAGGAGTCTAGTACCTGGAGTCTAGTACCAGGAGTCTAGTAGCAGGAGTCTAGCACCATGAGTCTAGTACCAGGAGTCCAGTACCAGGAGTCTAGTACCAGGAGTCTAGCACTAGGAGTCTAGTGCCAGGAGTCTAGTACCAGGACTCTAGAACCAGGAGTCCAGGACCAGGAGTCTAGCACCATGAGTCTAGTACCAGGACCTCAGTACCAGGAATCTAGTACCAGGAGCCTAGCACTAGGAGTCCAGCACCAGGAGTCTAGTACTAGGAGACTAGAACCAGGAGTGCAGAACCAGGAGTCTAGCACCAGGAGTCTAGTACCAGGAGTCTAGCACCAAGAGTATAGTACCAAGTGTCTAGCACCAAGAGTCTAGCACCAGGAGTCTAGTACCAGGAGTCCAGCACCATGAGTCTAGTACTAGGAGTCTAGTACCAGGAGTCTAGAACCAGGATTCAAGTACCAGGAGTCTAGTACCAGGAGGCTAGTACCAGGAGTCCAGCACCAGGAGTCTAGTACCAGGAGTCTAGCACCAGGAGTCTATTACCAGGAGTGTAGCAGCAGGAGGCTAGCACCAATAATCTAGTACCAGGAGTCTAGCACCAAGAGTCTAGTACCAGGAGTCTAGTACCTGGAGACTAGTACCAGGAGTCTAGTAGCAGGAGTCTAGCACCATGATTCTAGTACCAGGAGTCTAGTACCAGGAGTCTAGTACCAGGAGTCTATTACCAGGAGTCCAGCACCAGGAGTCTAGTACTAGGAGACTAGTACCAAGAGTATAGTACCAGGAGTCTAGTACCAGGAGTCTAGTACCAGCAGTCTAGCACCAAGAGTATTGTACCAGGAGTCTAGTACCAGGAGTGTAGTACCAGCAGTCTAGCACCAAGAGTCTAGTACCAGCAGTCTAGCACCAAGAGTCTAGTACTAGGAGTATATCACCAAGAGTCTAGTATCAGGAGTCTAGTACCAAGAGTCCAGCACTAGGACTCTAGTACTAGGAGTCTAGCACCAAGAGTCTAGTACCAGGAGTCTAGTACCAGGAGTCTATTACCAGGAGGCTAGCAGCAGGAGTCTAGAACCAAGGGCTTTGCTTGTGACACTGTTGGTGATTTATTCAGATTTCAAGGGGACCACAGCATTCTGCAGTGCCAGCAGCATATAAATCATAACTAGATAATTCCATGTGTGTTCTTTCATAGTTTTGATGTCTTCAGTATTAATCTACAATGTCGAAAAAATTCAAATACATATACAATTTCGAATGAGAAGGTGTGTCTTTTGACTGGTAGTGTACACCATAAACATATTGACCATATTTACCATATACATTATATAAATACACACCATATATATTAAATACATACACACCATATACATTAAATACATACACACCATATACATTATATACATACATACCATATACATTATATACACCATATACAGAGTTCCAGCCACAGGGGGTCTTCAGTACCTGACCCTCCCCCCCGGTCCCTCTGTATCGAAGCGCTGTTATTTGGAAGTGTGTTCCTGCTTTCTGTGGGAATCAGAGCAGAACCTGAGTGCAGCGACCTGCAGCAGGACATCCTGAAACCAGAGAGGGTCTGCAGGGTCCAGAGAGCGGGCCACCTGCAGCAGGACATCCTGAAACCAGAGAGGGTCTGCAGGGTCCAGAGAGCAGATTAGAGCTGAGCCTCTGGACCGGATCCAGAGGACGGATTAAAGGCACTTTAAGGTCCAGCTTGTTCTGTCTGACTGCAGCTCGTCCGGATCTCTGTAACCAAGAGCTGTGGGACGGCAACATGAGCCCTTTGAGCCGGAAGAGACCTGCAGACCCCCCCCTCAACAAATAACATGAACCCAGTGAGCCGCCAGAGACCTGAGGCCTGTACTACGAAGCCGGATGTTCTCTTAGCGGCTAACTTCAGGGTAAACTCTGGGTTTCCGGTCCTACGACGCTGGTTCTCTTTTTAGCGGGCTAGATCTCCATGGTAACTGATGCTGAGCGGCTAACCTGCTCCGGAGCAGGTTAGGTTGCAGGCTAAGAGCTCAACTCAGTGAAAGCACCGCCTGCTGACCAATCAGAGCTCAGTGTGCGGAGTTTAAAGCGATCAAGTCATATTACAGGAGAAAGGAAATACAGAAAAGCTGCCGTTGCAGGAAAGACGGCCGGCAAAAATCACCAACGTTGTAATAGTCCTTTATGTTATATAGTTGACCGCAGGTCATGGAGAGTAATGAGGTATTCGTAGACCTTTGTATGAGGCATCTTTATTTATGTAACAGGTCTTCCGTCATGATACATCCATGCGTCCTAGATGCGGGCTTGCATACACACCGTATCACTCCGCAGCCGCACCAGTAACAGTCCTGATGGTATACGTGTGCGGCACTATATACTACAGACGTGAACATGAATAGAATATCAGCTCCATCTTCAGAGCAAGCTGACTATTATAACATTAGCGTTAAGAAAGCTTCCTGAAATATCTGCCACAACATAAGTAACCGGATCAGAGTAACATTAAGTACAGTCCGCGGCTTATCACTTCATAATGTATCATATATCTCCTGATCTGAGTCAGCTGAGCCGTATCTGGCCGTGCAACACTCACAGCGTCACAGACTGGATGCAGAAGCATTATTTTAAGCAACACATTAAGTTGAGGAAACACTGGAGTCAAATGTAATGAAAGTCAGATGGTGTCTTAGACGGGCAGTGATATCATAAAACTGTTAATGTACGCATTCAAACACTTGTTCTGTTCCCAGCTGTATTCACCTTGCAGGTGCAGCTCTGTGGCTTTGATCCGGGATCAAGTGTTTAAGTCATGGATGTTTCAACTTTAACTTCTTCATATGTCTAATATTAAAGTTGACTTTTCATTCAGGAAGTATGACGCTGCGCTGTCAGTACGCTTCTCCATGTTTGTGATTGGTCAAATGTTGCTAGCCCCGCCCCTTTCATGTGAACGCGCTCTCAGCCGGACAGAGACACCCTGGCTTGAGTTACTGAGATGATAACCAGCGTCGTAGGACCGCTTAGCGAGAGCGCGTTTGTTTTGGGTTAGTTAAAGGACACCTATCATATTATATTTGAACAATATATTGTAGGGCCATACCAGGGTTTCCGCTAGGATTTTTTCTCGCCGGTCAAATGTCCGGGCAGAATTTATTTTACCGGACAAATTTGAAACTTACCGGTCACGTTTCAATAATAATAGTAAGAGTTGTGTAGCAGAGTTTCCGTTAGCAGGTAATTACCGGACTATGACCAGATATGCTTCAGTTTAAAACTCAGTTCACGGGGCTCATTTTTATATTGCTTCAGTCTATAATCGTAACAGATCGAAAAATTCAGATCCATTTTTCAATAAATGATTCCACCAACAACAAACAACATAATTATTACATTCAAACAAACTACTTGTAGTAGATAACGTACATTATTCAAAAGTTTACATTAACTTTGAATAATCACACGGGAGAAACGGATCCTCTCTTTTCCCCTCTCCCTCTCTCTCTCTCCTGACAGCCCGTCAGTTTCTCATGCAGCTAAACAGAGGGCGGGGCTTCAGGTGATTATGCAGAGCTGCGTGTCTCTGTCAGACTCAGCAGCTGATCTGATCTCTCTCTCGCCTCCGGTTATACTTCACTCGCGTTTATGTCCATATCGATCAGATCCAGCTCTCCTGATCGTTCTTTATATAGAGCACCGATCAAACTATTAAGAGTGAATATCGGCCGATAATGACCGGTGGCCGATCTATCGGAGCCTTCCTAATTATTACCAGACATTTTTGACCGGCAGGTTTTGAATTTACCGGTTTTTAATAAATTTTACCAGCTAAAAACCGGTAATTACCGGCTAACGGAAACCCTGGGCCATACCTATATAAAGTATATAAATATAGTTTCTTTTTCAAAATACCAAAAAGATCCTGCATTTTAGCCATGCCTCATTTCGCTCTATGTGCTCTTTCCAGCGCTGTTTTTGCAGGGGGCTGATTCTGTGAGCTGCAGCTGACCACGCCCCACTGCAGGAGAGGGGTTTGATTGATTGATTGAAAAGTTTATTAACAGCTTGTATATTGGGTACAGTACAGTACAGCTCAAAACATACAATTGTTAAGGGGATGCAGACCAGAGAAAGACTTTCGTCTTGTTTACATCAGGGTCCCCCATTTCCAATTCATCATGTCATTTAAGACATATAAGACATATTTGACATACAGATGGCTTATTTACAATTTACATACAGGTGGTTTTTTACATACAGATTGCTTGTTTACAATTTTCATTTTAGATTTCGTTCTAATACATCCTAACCGGACATTTAAGACATACCAAGTCTACAGATATACAGTTAGTAACAGAGTCTAAAATGCGAGTGTATACATAGATGGGGGGGGGGGGGAAGCTGTCCATTGAACGACAGGTTGAGATTTGTACCATTACCGGGGCCAGTTTTGCAATGCTCTCCCCCAAAGGTGCTCTTTAAGAGAGGTTTTGAAGTATAGTTTTACTTTCCTTTACAGTTGTGGGAAGAGCGTTCCACCTTGATGTGGCATAATTGCGAAACGTGTATTCCCCCTTTTTTGTGTCAAATCTGGGTTTCACATGATTTGTGGAGCTCCCTCTGGTGTTATGATCATGGTATTCCTTGACCTTTGGGAAGAATTTTGACATGTACATGGGTACCATAGAGGTGTAGTGGATCTTGTAGACCAGGCCCATTGCAAGTAGCTGTACTCTGTCGTCTACTCTAAGCCATCCTAGGTTGTCAAAGTGGGCAGAGGTGAGGTGGGTTCTAGATGAAAGGTCAAGCAGTAGTCTGACCAGTTTATTTTGCGATGTTTGAAGTTTTATTTTTAGCGCCTTGGAGGTGCTATGGTACCATGACGTGCAAGCATAGTCATAGTACCCTTGAATGAGTGCTCCTGCCAGAGTTTTCAGGGTGTTTTTGTTTACCAGAGAGGAGATCCGGTATAGGAATCTAGTTCTTTGATTGACTTTTTTATTACATTGGATGCCATTTTGTCACAGGAGAGGTTTGCCTCAAGAATAGATCCTAGGTATGTAATTTCCTTCTTACTTGTGACAATAATGTCGCCCACTGCAACTGAGAAGTCGTCGGATTTGCTGAGATTATGTTTCGAACCGAAGAGAATGGACTCTGTTTTACCCAGGTGTAATGATAATTTATTATCGGCGAGCCAGGTGCAGATTCTGCCGAGCTCGGAGCTGAGGGTTTTTTCAACCTGCAACCTGTTCCTGTCAGAGACCAGCAGGGCTGAGTCGTCCGCGAACAGGAACAAGTTGCAGTCACATGCTGATGACATGTCATTTACATAAATTAGGAACAGTAACGGACCTAATATGCTTCCTTGTGGAACACCACAGCTCACTGGGAGGGGGGGGGGGACAGAGTACCGTTTACCTCCACCATCTGTTCTCTCCCCTCCAGGTAGGATTGCATCCAGCTCACCGATAGTTTATCAAAACGAATTGCTTTTAGCTTGTCAATCAGAATGGGGTGTTTGACAGTGTCGAAAGCCTTTTGTAGGTCCAGCATCACCATGCCGCAGTACTTGCCCTCGTCCACCTCTTGTTTGATGTGGTCGCTCAAATAAAGAAGGCATGTGTCAGTGGAGTGGGATGTTCTAAAGCCAGATTGAAATTCATAGATTAGTTTCTTTTCCGCGAGGTACTTTTCGACCTGTTCATATACTATTTTTTCCATGACTTTCGAGATGGAGGTAAGAATAGAAACAGGGCGGTAGTTGCCTGAGTCATCATCAGGCCCAGATTCGTCAGAGTCAGTGAAGGGCTTAGCTACCTTAGAGTCATCATCAGGCCCAGATTCGTCAGAGTCAGTGACGGGCTTAGCTGCCTTAGAGTCATCATCTGGTCTGGATTCGTCAGAGTCAGTGACGGGCTTAGCTACCTTAGAGTCATCATCAGGCCCAGATTTGTCAGATTCAGAGTCAGTGACGGGGTTAGCTGTTTTAGGGTCATCCTCAGGCCCAGATTCGTCAGAGTCAGAGTCAGAGTCAGTGACGGGCTTAGCTACCTTAGAGTCATCATCTGGTCCGGATTCGTCAGAGTCCGTGACGGGCTTAGCTACCTTAGAGTCATCATCTGGCCCGGATTCGTGAGAGTCAGAGTCAGTGACGGGTTTAGCTATTTTAGGGTCATCATCAGGCCCAGATTCGTCAGAGTCAGAGTCAGAGATGGGCTTAGCTACCTCAGAGTCATCATCTGGCCCGGATTCGTCAGAGTCAGAGACGGGCTTAGCTACCTTAGAGTCATCATCTGGCCCGGATTCGTCAGAGTCAGAGTCAGAGACGGGCTTAGCTACCTCAGAGTCATCATCTGGCCCGGATTCGTCAGAGTCAGAGATGGGCTTAGCTACCTTAGAGTCATCATCAGGCCCGGATTCGTCAGAGTCAGAGACGGGCTTAGCTACCTTAGAGTCATCATCAGGCCCAGATTCGTCAGAGTCGGAGTCGGAGTCAGTGACAGGCTTAGCTGTTTTAGGGTCATCATCAGGCCCAGATTCGTCAGAGTCAGAGACGGGCTTAGCTACCTTAGAGTCATCATCAGGCCCAGATTCGTCAGAGTCAGAGAGGGGCTTAGCTGTTTTAGGGTCATCGTCAGGCCCAGATTCGTCAGTGTCAGCGTCAGTGGCGGGGACAGTGGTGTCATTAGACCCAGGTTCTTTAGAGTTGGCGAGCACGGCAGGATTCAGCTCTTCCACTGAGCTGACATCAGCGTCGGTGCTTTCAGCTGCGTTCTCATTGGTCTCTGGGATTCAAGATTGTGCACACTTGTAAATGATTTATCATGTCTTCTGTACACGTCAGTCTGATGAATCCAAAATAGGCCTAGCCTAATGCTAGCTACAGAGCTAATTACTGCTGCTCTGGATGCAGTATTAACATGTGGTTTTGGCTAATTGCTTCAGAACAATAATTAATACATGTGGTTTTGTTCATTAAACTAATGCCCAGCCCTGTTGGTGAGTATTACTGTGCTCAGCCTAAGATCCCAGGGTTACTGTGTACATGCAGCAGCAGTCATTGTAATGCAGTTTTGTCTGGGATCAAGCTCTTATCATGTTGTTTAATGTCGCACATTGGATCTGAATGAACTAGAGCTAAAGACAGGAGACAAACTGACCTTGTGTTTCAGCAGACTCGGCTGACTCGGATGATTCTGAAACAGTTGGAGACAAAATGTTTCCTGGTTTGTTTTCAGGGAATCTAATATCCTCATTCTTTAGTGGGCTGGGTCTTAGCTTTCTCTTCTTTTTGTACAGCTATAGAGGTGCCTAAAACCATGAGTGTCAAACAAGCTAAGACATTTCATGTAGGAAAGGAGTCTGATTACCTCGTTCAGAGTCACTGTCAGAAGATTCTGTGGAGAGAAATCAACGTGTTCAATTATCACTCCGTCACAGGTCATACGGATTACACACAGAGGTAGTAGTATCAGCCCGCTGTTCTACATTTGTTTGTTTGTTTGTTTCTGACATTTCAAATTCATGTTTCTCATCAGAGTTTGTGTAGAGAGTAGGGCATGGTGGACAGATAAGCTGACGAGGCTGCTGTTCAGGTCCTTTATGTAACCAAAGGTCAACCTCACATATTTAACAGACACCATGATCGCTTCCTGTACCAAACCAATCCAATTTGTTTCTGAAAAATACTGCATTACAATCATTTCCTATACTTTGTTTTCTAGATATAAAGAATCTTCCTAATTTAACCTAATAATTTTGCTATCTGGATCCTATAGAAGTGATTTTTTTCTAGAGGTAACCAATTACTATTTATTACCAGACTTTACCGATGTATTTCTCATTCTAAAGTAGTATTGCTTTCTGGATCCTATAGAAGTAATCTTGTTTTCTTGAGGTAACCAATTACTTTTGCCTCTTAGACCTAACCAAGTATCTTTCATTTTTTACCTAACCAACTATTTCTGTTTTTGAGACTTACCAACAGTTATGATTTACCAAGTCAATCAATCAATGTTTATTTATATATCCCAATATCACAAATGTTACATTTGTCTCAGTGGACTTCACAGTTTGTACAGAATATCAGTATGACAATACGACACCCTCTGTCCTTAGACCCTCTGTCCTTAGACCCTCTTTCCTTAGACCCTCTGTCCTCAGACCCTCTGTCCTCAGACCCTCTGTCCTTAGACCCTCTGTCCTCAGACCCTCTGTTCTCAGACCCTCTGTCCTTAGACCCTCTGTCCTCAGACCCTCTGTCCTTAGACCCTCTGTCCTCAGACCCTCTGTCCTCATACCTTCTGTCCTTAGACCCTCTGTCCTCAGACCCTCTGTCCTCAGACCCTCTATCCTTAGACCCTCTGTCCTTAGACCCTATGTCCTTAGACCCTCACATCGTACAAGGAAACACTTCCAGAGAAAACCCACAGTTTAAAGGGAACATGGGAGAAACCTCAGGGAGAGCAACAGAGGAGGGATCCCTCTCCCAGGACGGACAGACGTGCAATAGATGCCGTGTGTAAATTGAAAAGATAATACATTTGCAACATAGGTAGTCCAAATGTTTGGAAATGCATGTGTGTATAATAGGAAGATGAATCCAAGAGGATATCCATCCAGGACAACAGCCACGACTCAAGATCCAGGGCTCGCGATGCCACCATGATCACCAAGTAATATGGTTTCAGAGAACTAATTACATAGTTTTCCTTTCGTAGCACTGGATGAGTAGTTCTGTTTCTAGACCTGACCAGGAACAAGCAGTTTTGGTTTCTGGAGATCTTAAAAAGTAATGTTTGTTCCTAGGCCTCTGCAAAGTAGTTAAACTGAACCAATGGTCCAAAACGAATGTGATTGGATCATGTCATGTTGTTTAACCCTGCAGCATATAATAAATTGGACATATTATAAATGCGCTATATGACAGACACATGGGATCTAAGACAGGAGACAAACTGACCTTGAGTTTCAGAAGACTCGGCTGACTCGGACAACTCTGAAACAGATTGAATTAAGTACAATCAATCCTAAAGAAGTGATTTGGTTTCTAACCCTAAACCTCTTATGAATCGGGTTGGTTTTTCTGGATCGACTGAGTTATCTAGTTTAATAATTGTTACCAATAACGGTTTATTGGAAAAAATCTACTAGCTCTGTTTCTAACTCTAACCAACGAGTCCAAGTAACGCAGACAGACAGACAGACAGACAGACAGACAGACAGACAGACAGACAGACAGACAGACAGACAGACAGACAGACAGACAGACAGACAGACAGACAGACAGACAGACAGACAGACAGACCCCCCCACACACACACCAGACCCCCCACACACACCTGACCCCCACACACACACCTGACCCCCCCCCACACACACACACACACTTGACCCCCACACACCCACCTGACCCCCCCCACACACACACCTGACCCCCACACACACCTGACACAGAAACCTTGTAATATAAAAAGTTCTTAATGTAAGAACTCCACTGGTTTCATTGTGATATCTGTTTTGGTCGACACCATCTTGGTTTTTGGTCATCTCCATCTTGGTTTTTGGTCATCTCCATCTTGGTTTTTGTCACAATCTAGAAATATTTTGGTTGTCTCCATCTTGGTTTTCAGACCAAGAAGTGAAGGTTAGGGTTGTAAGAGGAGAACATTGACCCAAGTTGGATTTCAGATCAATCGATTGCTGGTTTTATGATTTCAGATGAATATGTCTTTTTTTTCATCATAATAAAGATTCATGGACTCAGTGAGCGGTGACAAGGTTTGTCAGTTCAATATTTATTAGCAGTATGTACACATTACAGTGTGAATACAGATCTCAGATTAGCAGCTGGTTTAATGTTTCTGCAGACAGACAGACAGACGAACAGGTTAGAGCAAAGTTTTTATTTAACCAAATGGAGCCAACCAATCAGGAATGAGCGGAGAATAATACACAAACAGGAAGCAGAAGGTAGATGTTCAGCTAGTTGTTGTTGTTGTCGTCATGGCAAATGTATTGTACACTGTAGGCATGGCTCTGATTGAGAGAAAACACAAAATCCCCAGCAAGTTTATTTCACTAACTTTGTTCATGCAGATTGTCCTGTTAGCATTAGCATTAGCATTACAATATGCCTCATCTAGAACTTCCATGATAAAAAGCTCATTGTCTTAATGAAGTGGGTTTCATGGTGATGTCTGTTTGGTGAGTCAATCAGAACCACTCAGTCATCACGGACATGAGCAGAGTAAGGAAACTCTGAGGCCAAACATTCAAACACATATCAGTCTCTTGAAATGTGTTTCCTTCATTGTATACCCTATTTTCTCATTGGATGCACGTGATGTTGGCATGTCCCACACACTGCTCTGCTAACTACAGTGTGTGTAATAAGTGATTACATTATACTACATTTTTAAAATAGTTGTATGGTTTTATTGTCCACAACGAGTTATTTGATCAAACGAGTAATTTTGATCATATTCTATCTTCATAATAATATTGAACATGTTGCATGTGTCCGTCATTGAGGGGACACTGCCCCATAAAACACATCTGATGTTTTCAGTGACATGAGACGGTGACTAGTTGCAGAGTACGTTTTTAAACTTATATTTGGTAATTGTAATCATATTATGTGTGTAGTTGGATGTTGTCAAGCTTAACATATCCACTCTGTCATAGTGAAATATCAATTCATATAAAAACCTTTCAGAAATGTGGAATATATTTGTTAAACACTACACAGTCGCCTTGCTAACTGAATCATGTTGCTAACTGAAGCTCCACCATGTGCTCAGTACATGCTAATAGTAGCCACAAATGTCCACCCTGTCCTTGTCCACCCTGTCCTTGTCCACCCTATCCTTGTCCACCCTGTCATTGTCCATCCTGTCCTTGTCCACCCTGTCATTGTCCACCCTGTCATTGTCCACCCTGTCCTTGTCCACCCTGTCCTTGTCCACCCTGTCATTGTCCACCCTGTCCTTGTCCACCCTGTCATTGTCCATCCTGTCCTTGTCCACCCTGTCATTATCCACCCTGTCCTTGTCCACCCTGTCATTGTCCATCCTGTCCTTGTCCACCCTGTCATTGTCCACCCTGTCCTTGTCCACCCTGCCCTTGTCCATCCTGTCCTTGTCCACCCTGTCATTGTCCACCCTGTCCTTGTCCACCCTGCCCTTGTCCACCCTGTCAGCAAGCCTTCCTGACAGGGTGGACATGGTACAAATAGTTTGCCATCATTTCATTATTATCCAAATACTTTTTCCATTAACTGAAATATATTGTTGAGAAAGGGACTATAGCTTTCTGAAAATGTACATTTTATAATCACGATGTAATTACAATGTGTTTACTCATTGCATTGTGTCCATGACAGGGTGGATACATGTTGCTGTTTGCATGTACATTGTCTGCCTGCAATTAATTTATAAAAATTGTGGGAGCTTGACCAACATCCATTTCTAACAGCAAAACATATACTCAATGAATATGAAGTTCAATGGAAAATCTCAGCTTTGTTTAGTCTCAAATGCACTGTATGGTGATATTGACTCAGGTACGTTGTTTACCCTGTTCACCTGCAGTGTGTACAACATGTATGTTTCTTCAGTTTTGACACATTTAATGTACGTTTCTTCAGTTTTGACAGTGTTACCTGCAGATGGTGAGCATTCACAGTCCACAGTTGGAGCGTCTAAATCCCTGCGTAAAGAAGAAGACAGAGATTTACGTCTGGTTGATGAAATAATGAATGAAATGCACACCTCTCTGCTGATTCTGATGGTGAGTCCAAAAATAAGTAATTGTGCTGCTGATCTTTGTGGATTGGACTGTTTCTGCATTGAGGCTCGTGCCTGCACATTACGTAATTTAACATTGGGCAAATATCTTCATTTGCTTAGCGGCAGTTCACCTTTCAGGGAGCTTTGATAATTTCATGCTCTCTTTTGTCTGATTCAGGTTTAGCTTGTGTCGTTAGATCATGGAGTGAAATATAGGGGGACAGGACACGATCAGTGCTGGGACATTTACCGGTGGCGGTGGTGGAGTCCACAGGTTGGACCAGATGCTGGTCAGCAGATGGTCCTACAAAGAAAACAACAACATTAGAGGTCAAATCAAAATGTACTCCTGCAACACCACAGGTCTGTTTACATCAGTCATGACTTCATGTCTTCTGTTAATTCTTCCCGATTCTTACCGAATGAATTTCTGAATTCTCATCTTTACCTCTGAACTAATTTAACTCTTATTTATATATTTCTTTAATTTAAAACATTTGCTGTCTCTTTGTTTGCAGTAAAACTACTAGCCTGATATCCATCACATTCGGAGGATGAGTGTATCACAACCTCCTTTCAAATTAATTGAAACTGTTGAGATCTATACCTATATCCCTAAACTCTTCATTTCATACCAATTTTTTGTCTTATTCAGAGTTGGATCATTATTACCTTTCCAATTGTTTGAAATAAAGTGTATGTACTCTGTGTGCATGCTTCTCTAGGAACTCTGACCATGGTTTAGTTTTACCTTCCGTGTCTGGGTGAGAGTGCTCCGGGTTCCCCTCATCCTTGTCTGTGTTGGAAGGGTCCAACAGGTCAGGGCTGTCATCTTTCTTTGGCTCATTTTCACTATTATTAGCATCAGGCTTAATGGCTCCGTCACTCTTATTTTCGTCTGTTTCATCCATCGTGGCGTCATTTTCTTTGATTACTCCCCCCTCCGAGTCTTTCTCCTCTGAGGTATCATCTCCCTCCATCACATCCTCTCCTGATTCCTTTGGATCCTTTTCCCCTATATCATCTCCCTCCTTCTCCTCCTCCCCGGTTGCTAGCGACACCCCCTCATACGGGCCCTTATCGTCCATGCTATCATCTTTCTCTGTAAGTACCTCAGAGCCAGTACTAGTATCAACACCCGAGTCATTAGAGTCAGTACTAGTATCAGCGCCCGAGTCATTAGAGTCAGTACTAGTATCAGCGCCCGAGTGGGATTCTTTAGAGTCAGTGACGGGCTTAGCAATCTTAGGGTCATCATCTGGCCCGGATTCGTCAGAGTCAGAGTCAGTGATGGGCTTAGCTGTTTTAGGGTCATCCTCAGGCCCAGATTCGTCAGAGTCAGAGTCAGTGACGGGCTTAGCTACCTTAGAGTCATCATCTGGTCCGGATTCATCAGAGTCTGTGACGGGCTTAGCTACCTTAGAGTCATCATCAGGCCCAGATTCGTCAGAGTCAGAGTCAGAGTCAGTGACGGGCTTAGCTACCTTAGAGTCATCATCTGGTCCGGATTCGTCAGAGTCAGTGACGGGCTTAGCTACCTTAGAGTCATCATCAGGCCCAGATTCGTCAGAGTCAGAGTCAGTGACGGGCTTAGCTACCTTAGAGTCATCATCTGGTCCGGATTCGTCAGAGTCAGTGACGGGCTTAGCTACCTTAGAGTCATCATCAGGCCCAGATTCGTCAGAGTCAGTGACGGGCTTAGCTACCTTAGAGTCATCATCAGGCCCAGATTCGTCAGAGTCAGTGACGGGCTTAGCTACCTTAGAGTCATCATCTGGTCTGGATTCGTCAGAGTCAGTGACGGGCTTAGCTACCTTAGAGTCATCATCAGGCCCAGATTTGTCAGATTCAGAGTCAGTGACGGGGTTAGCTGTTTTAGGGTCATCATCAGGCCCAGATTCGTCAAAGTCAGAGTCAGTGACGGGCTTAGCTACCTTAGAGTCATCATCTGGCCCGGATTCGTGAGAGTCAGAGTCAGTGACGGGTTTAGCTATTTTAGGGTCATCATCAGGCCCAGATTCGTCAGAGTCAGAGTCAGAGATGGGCTTAGCTACCTCAGAGTCATCATCTGGCCCGGATTCGTCAGAGTCAGAGACGGGCTTAGCTACCTTAGAGTCATCATCTGGCCCGGATTCGTCAGAGTCAGAGTCAGAGACGGGCTTAGCTACCTCAGAGTCATCATCTGGCCCGGATTCGTCAGAGTCAGAGATGGGCTTAGCTACCTTAGAGTCATCATCAGGCCCGGATTCGTCAGAGTCAGAGACGGGCTTAGCTACCTTAGAGTCATCATCAGGCCCAGATTCGTCAGAGTCGGAGTCGGAGTCAGTGACAGGCTTAGCTGTTTTAGGGTCATCATCAGGCCCAGATTCGTCAGAGTCAGAGACGGGCTTAGCTACCTTAGAGTCATCATCAGGCCCAGATTCGTCAGAGTCAGAGAGGGGCTTAGCTGTTTTAGGGTCATCGTCAGGCCCAGATTCGTCAGTGTCAGCGTCAGTGGCGGGGACAGTGGTGTCATTAGACCCAGGTTCTTTAGAGTTGGCGAGCACGGCAGGATTCAGCTCTTCCACTGAGCTGACATCAGCGTCGGTGCTTTCAGCTGCGTTCTCATTGGTCTCTGGGGATTCAAGATTGTGCACACTTGTAAATGATTTATCATGTCTTCTGTACACGTCAGTCTGATGAATCCAAAATAGGCCTAGCCTAATGCTAGCTACAGAGCTAATTACTGCTGCTCTGGATGCAGTATTAACATGTGGTTTTGGCTAATTGCTTCAGAACAATAATTAATACATGTGGTTTTGTTCATTAAACTAATGCCCAGCCCTGTTGGTGAGTATTACTGTGCTCAGCCTAAGATCCCAGGGTTACTGTGTACATGCAGCAGCAGTCATTGTAATGCAGTTTTGTCTGGGATCAAGCTCTTATCATGTTGTTTAATGTCGCACATTGGATCTGAATGAACTAGAGCTAAAGACAGGAGACAAACTGACCTTGTGTTTCAGCAGACTCGGCTGACTCGGATGATTCTGAAACAGTTGGAGACAAAATGTTTCCTGGTTTGTTTTCAGGGAATCTAATATCCTCATTCTTTAGTGGGCTGGGTCTTAGCTTTCTCTTCTTTTTGTACAGCTATAGAGGTGCCTAAAACCATGAGTGTCAAACAAGCTAAGACATTTCATGTAGGAAAGGAGTCTGATTACCTCGTTCAGAGTCACTGTCAGAAGATTCTGTGGAGAGAAATCAACGTGTTCAATTATCACTCCGTCACAGGTCATACGGATTACACACAGAGGTAGTAGTATCAGCCCGCTGTTCTACATTTGTTTGTTTGTTTGTTTCTGACATTTCAAATTCATGTTTCTCATCAGAGTTTGTGTAGAGAGTAGGGCATGGTGGACAGATAAGCTGACGAGGCTGCTGTTCAGGTCCTTTATGTAACCAAAGGTCAACCTCACATATTTAACAGACACCATGATCGCTTCCTGTACCAAACCAATCCAATTTGTTTCTGAAAAATACTGCATTACAATCATTTCCTATACTTTGTTTTCTAGATATAAAGAATCTTCCTAATTTAACCTAACAATTTTGCTATCTGGATCCTATAGAAGTGATTTTTTTCTAGAGGTAACCAATTACTATTTATTACCAGACTTTACCGATGTATTTCTCATTCTAAAGTAGTATTGCTTTCTGGATCCTATAGAAGTAATCTTGTTTTCTTGAGGTAACCAATTACTTTTGCCTCTTAGACCTAACCAAGTATCTTTCATTTTTTACCTAACCAACTATTTCTGTTTTTGAGACTTATCAACAGTTATGATTTACCAAGTCAATCAATCAATGTTTATTTATATATCCCAATATCACAAATGTTACATTTGTCTCAGTGGACTTCACAGTTTGTACAGAATATCAGTATGACAATACGACACCCTCTGTCCTTAGACCCTCTGTCCTTAGACCCTCTTTCCTTAGACCCTCTGTCCTCAGACCCTCTGTCCTCAGACCCTCTGTCCTTAGACCCTCTGTCCTCAGACCCTCTGTTCTCAGACCCTCTGTCCTTAGACCCTCTGTCCTCAGACCCTCTGTCCTTAGACCCTCTGTCCTCAGACCCTCTGTCCTCATACCTTCTGTCCTTAGACCCTCTGTCCTCAGACCCTCTGTCCTCAGACCCTCTATCCTTAGACCCTCTGTCCTTAGACCCTATGTCCTTAGACCCTCACATCGTACAAGGAAACACTTCCAGAGAAAACCCACAGTTTAAAGGGAACATGGGAGAAACCTCAGGGAGAGCAACAGAGGAGGGATCCCTCTCCCAGGACGGACAGACGTGCAATAGATGCCGTGTGTAAATTGAAAAGATAATACATTTGCAACATAGGTAGTCCAAATGTTTGGAAATGCATGTGTGTATAATAGGAAGATGAATCCAAGAGGATATCCATCCAGGACAACAGCCACGACTCAAGATCCAGGGCTCGCGATGCCACCATGATCACCAAGTAATATGGTTTCAGAGAACTAATTACATAGTTTTCCTTTCGTAGCACTGGATGAGTAGTTCTGTTTCTAGACCTGACCAGGAACAAGCAGTTTTGGTTTCTGGAGATCTTAAAAAGTAATGTTTGTTCCTAGGCCTCTGCAAAGTAGTTAAACTGAACCAATGGTCCAAAACGAATGTGATTGGATCATGTCATGTTGTTTAACCCTGCAGCATATAATAAATTGGACATATTATAAATGCGCTATATGACAGACACATGGGATCTAAGACAGGAGACAAACTGACCTTGAGTTTCAGAAGACTCGGCTGACTCGGACAACTCTGAAACAGATTGAATTAAGTACAATCAATCCTAAAGAAGTGATTTGGTTTCTAACCCTAAACCTCTTATGAATCGGGTTGGTTTTTCTGGATCGACTGAGTTATCTAGTTTAATAATTGTTACCAATAACGGTTTATTGGAAAATACCTACTAGCTCTGTTTCTAACTCTAACCAACGAGTCCAAGTAACGCAGACAGACAGACAGACAGACAGACAGACAGACAGACAGACAGACAGACAGACAGACAGACAGACAGACAGACAGACAGACAGACAGACAGACAGACAGACAGACAGACAGACAGACAGACAGACAGACAGACAGACAGACAGACAGACAGACAGACAGACAGACAGACAGACAGACAGACAGACAGACAGACAGACAGACAGACAGACAGACAGACAGACAGACAGACAGACAGACAGACAGACAGACAGACAGACAGACAGACAGACAGACAGACAGACAGACAGACAGACAGACAGACAGACAGACAGACAGACAGACAGACAGACAGACAGACAGACAGACAGACAGACAAGACAGACAGACAGACAGACAGACAGACAGACAGACAGACAGACAGACAGACAGACAGACAGACAGACAGACAGACAGACAGACAGACAGACAGACAGACAGACAGACAGACAGCACAGACACACACACAGACACACACACACACACACACACACACACACACACACACACACACACACCACACCACACACAACACACACACACACACACACACACAACACACACACACACACACACACCCACAGCACACACACACACAACACACACACACACACACACACACACACACACACACACACACACACACACACACACACACACACACACACACACACACACACACACACACACACACACACACACACACACACACACCACACACACACACACACACACACAACACACACACACACACACACACACACACACACACACACACACACACACACACACACACACACACACACACACACACACACACACACACACACACACACACACACAGACAGGTTACCTTGACTTTGTTCTTCAGAGGTTGTGTTCCCAGCAACTACTGTGGAGACAGTAAACATTTTTGAACAAATATTAATATATACGTACAAACAGTATAAATGTAATATATGTAATTTATATTTAGGGTTAGGGTTGTGTTACCATCGTTCAGGTGATCCAGCAGTGGTTCAATTCTCTCTGAAACAGCAGAAACATGAACACTTGTGGAAACCTAGAATACTTTTTATTTATTAAATGCTAAATATACAAACTAATCTGCAGTAAAAAGTTAAAATGTAAAATAACTATGTTTCCTGTTGGACAGAGAGAGAGGGGGGGGGGGGGCTGTCTGTCATCTGTTTGGACTATTCATTGGACAAAGACCAGGAGTCAGAACAACAGGACCCACGACCAGCCAATCAGAGGTGTGAGAGCAGTCTAAGCCTCAACATGTGTTCATTGTGTATTCACTGGATTTACCTTTCTGACGTTACTGTGACGTTACTGTGACGTTACTGTGACGTTACTGTGACGTTACTGTGACGTTACTGTGACGTTACTGTGATGTTACTGTGACGTTACTGTGAAGTTACTGTGACGTTACTGTGACGTTACTGTGACGTTACTGTGATGTTACTGTGACGTTACTGTGATGTTACTGTGACGTTACTGTGAAGTTACTGTGATGTTACTGTGATGTTACTGTGACGTTACTGTGACGTTACTGTGATTTTACTGTGATGTTACTGTGACGTTACTGTGACGTTACTGTGACGTTACTGTGACGTTACTGTGATGTTACTGTGACGTTACTGTGACGTTACTGTGAAGTTACTGTGATGTTACTGTGACGTTACTGTGACATTACTGTGACGTTACTGTGATGTTACTGTGATGTTACTGTGACGTTACTGTGATGTTATTGTGATGTTACTGTGATGTTACTGTGATGTTACTGTTTCTGTGATGTTACTGTTTCTGTGATGTTACTGTGATGTTACTGTGATGTTACTGTGACGTTACTGTGATGTTATTGTGATGTTACTGTGATGTTACTGTGATGTTACTGTTTCTGTGATGTTATTGTTTCTGTGATGTTACTGTGATGTTACTGTGATGTTACTGTGATGTTACTGTGATGTTACTGTGACGTTACTGTGACGTTACTGTGACGTTACTGTGACGTTACTGTGATGTTACTGTGATGTTACTGTGACGTTACTGTGATGTTACTGTGATGTTACTGTGACGTTACTGTGACGTTACTGTGATGTTACTATGACGTTACTGTGATGTTACTGTGATGTTACTGTGATGTTACTGTGATGTTACTGTTACTGTGACGTTACTGTTACTGTGATGTTACTGTGACGTTACTGTGATGTTTCTGTGACGTTACTGTTACTGTGATGTTACTGTGATGTTACTGTGATGTTACTGTGACGTTACTGTTACTGTAATGTTACTGTGATGTTACTGTGATGTTTCTGTGACGTTACTGTTACTGTGATGTTACTGTGACGTTACTGTGATGTTACTGTGATGTTACTGTGACGTTACTGTGACGTTACTGTGATGTTACTGTTTCTGTGATGTTACTGTGACGTTACTGTGATGTTACTGTGATGTTACTGTGACGTTACTGTGACGTTACTGTGACGTTACTGTGATGTTACTGTGACGTTACTGTTTCTGTGACGTTACTGTGACGTTACTGTGATGTTACTGTGATGTTACTGTGATGTTACTGTGACGTTACTGTGACGTTACTGTTACTGTGATGTTACTGTGACGTTACTGTGATGTTACTGTGACGTTACTGTGACGTTACTGTGACGTTACTGTGACGTTACTGTGATGTTACTGTGATGTTACTGTGATGTTACTGTGACGTTACTGTGACGTTACTGTTACTGTGATGTTACTGTGATGTTACTGTGATGTTACTGTGACGTTACTGTGATGTTACTGTGACGTTACTGTGACGTTACTGTTACTGTGACGTTACTGTTACTGTGACGTTACCGTGACGTTACTGTGATGTTACTGTGATGTTACTGTGATGTTTCTGTGACGTTACTGTTACTGTTACTGTGATGTTTCTGTGATGTTTCTGTGACGTTACTGTGACGTTACTGTGATGTTACTGTGATGTTACTGTGATGTTACTGTGATGTTTCTGTGACGTTACTGTTACTGTGACGTTACTGTGACGTTACTGTGACGTTACTGTGACGTTACTGTGACGTTTCTGTGATGTTTCTGTGACGTTACTGTTACTGTGATGTTTCTGTGATGTTTCTGTGACGTTACTGTGACGTTACTGTGACGTTACTGTTACTGTTACTGTGATGTTTCTGTGATGTTTCTGTGACGTTACTGTGATGTTACTGTGATGTTACTGTGATGTTTCTGTGACGTTACTGTTACTGTGACGTTACTGTGACGTTACTGTGACGTTACTGTGACGTTACTGTGATGTTACTGTGACGTTACTGTGACGTTACTGTTTCTGTGATGTTACTGTGACGTTACTGTGACGTTACTGTGACGTTACTGTGATGTTACTGTGACGTTACTGTGACGTTACTGTTTCTGTGATGTTACTGTGACGTTACTGTGATGTTACTGTGATGTTACTGTGATGTTACTGTGACGTTACTGTGATGTTACTGTGATGTTACTGTGACGTTACTGTGACGTTACTGTGACGTTACTGTGACGTTACTGTGACGTTACTGTGACGTTACTGTGATGTTACTGTGACGTTACTGTGATGTTACTGTGACGTTACTGTGACGTTACTGTGACGTTACTGTTTCTGTGATGTTACTGTGACGTTACTGTGATGTTTCTGTGATGTTACTGTGACGTTACTGTGATGTTACTGTGACGTTACTGTGACGTTACTGTGACGTTACTGTGATGTTACTGTGACGTTACTGTGACGTTACTGTGACGTTACTGTGACGTTACTGTGACGTTACTGTGATGTTACTGTGACGTTACTGTGACGTTACTGTGACGTTACTGTGATGTTACTGTGACGTTACTGTGACGTTACTGTTTCTGTGATGTTACTGTGACGTTACTGTGACGTTACTGTGACGTTACTGTGATGTTACTGTGACGTTACTGTGACGTTACTGTGACGTTACTGTGACGTTACTGTGATGTTACTGTGACCTTACTGTGACGTTACTGTGACGTTACTGTGATGTTACTGTGACGTTACTGTGACGTTACTGTGATGTTACTGTGATGTTACTGTGATGTTACTGTGATGTTACTGTGATGTTACTGTGACGTTACTGTGATGTTACTGTGATGTTACTGTGACATTACTGTGATGTTACTGTTTCTGTGATGTTACTGTGATGTTACTGTTTCTGTGATGTTACTGTGACGTTACTGTGATGTTACTGTGATGTTACTGTGACGTTACTGTGACGTTACTGTACGTACTGTGACGTTACTGTGACGTTACTGTGACGTTACTGTGACGTTACTGTGACGTTACTGTGACGTTACTGTGACGTTACTGTGACGTTACTGTGACGTTACTGTGACGTTACTGTGACGTTACTGTGACGTTACTGTGATGTTACTGTGATGTTACTGTGATGTTACTGTGACATTACTGTGATGTTACTGTTTCTGTGATGTTACTGTGACATTACTGTGATGTTACTGTTTCTGTGATGTTACTGTGACGTTACTGTGATGTTACTGTGATGTTACTGTGATGTTACTGTGATGTTACTGTGATGTTACTTTGATATTACTCTGATATTACTGTTGCGTTACTGTGATGTTACTGTGATATTACTGTTGTGTTACTGTCATATTACTGTGATTTTAGTGTTGTGTTACTGTGATGTGACTGTGATATTACTCAGTGGGGTACTGCCTTAGTAACAGCATAATATATCACATGTATTCTGCTGTTGTTTACTGTGATTTATTTTTACATTTTCTCTAAAATATATTTATCTTTACTGTTTAATTTTCATACTTACCATCAGCTGCTGTTTCATCTGCAACAGAACAAACACATTTATGTATATTTATTTTTGAAGTGATTAAATTACTTATAGATAGATAGTTAATTCATCCCAAATTATTTTGTGGCAAGTATATATAGTAAGAATATACATTTTAGATTTTAAATAATTTAAATTGACACTAGCAGCAAGTATATTGAAATTCACAGCAGAAAAAGACTTTGGATTGAATACACATTTTAAATGTACTATACAGCTGATTTCAAGATTTCAATATTTACAGGTTACCTGGGACTGGAGCTGCAAGAGAAAGACCCGCAAAGGCAAGAAGCAGCAATATTACACACCTGTAACACACACACACACACACACACACACACACACACACAACACACACACACACACACACACACACACACACACACACACACACACACACACACACACACACACACACACACACACACACACACACACACACACACACACACACATACACACACACCACACACGCACACACGCACGCACGCACGCACGCACGCACGCACGCACGCACGCACAATCCCAAGTGATGAACAATCAGCACAATAACATTTCTACAGATGTTTTTGCTTCATAGAGACAATTATTTGAAACTTTTTATCTTTATGTGTGGCTGCATGAAAACCAAAGGTCTTATGAAGTCAGTTTGAGGAGAGTAACTGAATCCAGATCAATAAAATCAAATATTACACATAAAATATAAAATGCTTTTAAATAAGGAAAGAGTCTGTTTCTTGCTGATTAACGTGCTTTATCTGCCTGTGAGCTGCAGGGGGTAGTATTGCAGTACTCCGTGAAGTATCGCAGTACTCGGTGTAGTATTGCAGTACTCGGTGTAGTATTGCTGAGTGTCTTTGTGTCTCAGCAGACAGAGGCTCTCTGTTGGACGTATGGAGGATCAGATCAGAGGGGGAGTCGAGTGTCGGCGAGAACACTGAGGCTTTATGTCCTAACTCCACCGTCACATACATATATATAAATATACTTTTATATATATATATATACATACATATATATATATATATACATACATATATATGACTTATTGTATTTACTTATAAATATATGTTTATAAATATAAACATTCATACATGTATACTAATGACTTTGTATTCAGGAAGCCATCCCCTCCATCTGAAGGATTCTCATCTCAAACAGAAACACTTTCTCTAACTTTCATCAAACATATTTTGCGCAGGGATCTAAAAGAAAAGTGATTTTAAATAAATAATGTTGTTTATATATCTTTATATATATTGTAAACTGCCTCTCCATTTATTCGTGTTAAGTATAAGATCCGCCTTCAGAAACATATAGACGCAAATATATGGTACATAAATATACAAAGACAACACTGGAAGGATTATTACTCAATACATCTGAATCATTTTCATTCAACTGAATACATTATTTAAACTCACCCTCGCAGCATGTTTTCTCTCAGCGGGTCCACAGAAAAACTTTCAGTGTTTCTGAACACAGACCAGAGACCCTGCTTTATACTCACAACTCCCCCTTCTCCTCCTCCTCCTCCTCCTCCTCCTCCTCCTCCTCCTCCTCCTCCTCCTCCTCCTCCTCCTCCTCCTCCTCCTCCTCCTCCTCCTCCTCCTCCTCCTCCTCCTCCTCCTCCTCCTCCTCCTCCTCCTCTCATTGTGTGTGTGTGTGTGTGTGTGTGTGTGTGTGTGGGTGTGTGTGTGTGGGTGTGTATTTGTCAGAAACTGAAACTTTGGTTTCTTCCTGAAGTCCTGCTTAAGTCTGTCATCATCATCATTCTTATTTTTGTTGTTATTATTATTATTGTTTGGGGCCGAGCACCAACACAGTTGTGTTTTATACAATATATAAATATATATATATATATGTCCACTTTATTCAGAGTGTTTGTATATTTAAAGTTCCTGCTCACTGCTGACGGTCGTTTCTGGGACAACTTAAAATCACATTTAAACAACGGGAAGGCAAACCAGAGGTCCGATGAGGACAAACAGCACAGAGACAAACACTGAAGTAAATCAGTCACACAGTGTGTGTGTGTGTGTGTGTGTCTTGGTATGTGTGTGTGTGTGTGTGTGTTTTAGCATGCTAACAGCCTCTAATGAGTTTTCTGTATTCAGGTCAGTGTAACAATGAATCACTTCAACAACTGCAGCTGGTTTTAAGATTCAAATAAAAAAATTAACACGAACACAAAAACATTTTCGACAGACTTAATATAAATGTATCCTATTTCATAAATAAAATACAAATATACTTAACGCAGGGTGTGTTCTGTCCAGGGTTAGGGAATGCTCCGGTATTGGGACAAAATTAACATGGGATCACTCCGGTCATTGTACGTACTTCGTCTCACTGGAATATTAACGGTCAGATTGAATACAACATCGACCCAATTTCTCCGGGCAATGACCGGAGAGTTTTGAAAGTGACAAAACACTGTTTTCACACATTTAAAAACACTAAACAATGTTTACCCAGGATTCAGGCACCTTCCCTGGTTTGTAAAATGTGTTGATGCGCCCTGGAGGTATCAGACTATTTAAAACATGTATACCCAGGATTCAACCACTTTTCCTGGCTTGCAAAGTGCTGTGAAGCAGCCTGTTCTATGGGTGCAGTCTGGGTGTGCATGGAGGGGTTTAGTCCGAGTGAGGAGTGCTCAAGTGTGGGAGGATGTGTAAGGCAGAGGAGGGTAAAAAAAACCCCCTGTGAATAAGGCAGAATATGGATGCTGGTGTGCGGACAGTAAAGCACCACAAAATCCACCTCCTTTAAGTGTTACCAGGGCCATGGAAACATCCTCCACAGGAGGGTGGGTGGTGCTGTGATTAAGGACGAATATGGATGCCGATGGGCGGACGGTAAAGCACCGCAAACTCCACCCCCCCTTTAAGGTTCCCAGGGGCACAAGGTTCTTGAGGGTGTGATCATCTGGGTTTAGTCCGTGGGGGAGTGCTTAAGTTCGGGGGCCCGGGGACCCAAGGTGCGCGAGGTTATGGAAGTACGCATGTGAGGGAGCGAACCTGGAGCTGCTTAGCCCGTCATTTGGGGGTCTCGGAGCGGCCACAGAGAGGTACTTTTCCCGGTGTATTTCATGGAAGTCTGACATAGCCTGTTTGCTCATGTAAGGAAAATGTCTGCCTTATGGACAGAGTTAACATGGGACTTGATGAAGCCATATCTAGGAGCTTATATTATTTAATAGTTATCCATTTATTTTATTGTTCTTTTTTGTTTATAGTAAATCTTCCTTTTAATTCTTATTTAAGTTGATCAAATAAGTTGTACCATGCCTCTGTTTTGTAAAGACAGCCTTTGGGCCCCGGGGGAGGGGAGACCGGCTCATTATAAATATGGGAAACAGGTGGTAGTGAGCGGGGCACCCGGTAGGCTTATGGTTTTTTACCATCGGGTAAGAAGGAAGAGAAATGCTTGATGTGTTGACAATAAATTGCACTGAAACGACTTTTGCTCGGACCTTGATTTTTACCCATGCGTAAGATTCGCTGACGGGTGCCTCGGCGGCACTTTGCGTTATATTTATTTCTTATATTTTTATGATTTTGGCCGCTATATAGTAAAAAACCCGCCTCATGAATGGATACTATTTTTTTTGGAAACCCTTTTTCTGTGGATGGCCCGCTGCAAAGAGGGATACAAGGATTTCCTTATTGAAACTTCCGTGAGTCGCGTGGAAAAGAGGACGGACGCCGGCCTCGAGTTGGAAATGTTTGTACGCGAGGCAGAGCGCGTGGGACTCGTGAGTAAACAAGAGGAAAAATGAATGAGTCATGCTTGTTGTGATTTAATCAATGGATGCATACGCAAATGAAGATATGAGCCAAACGTGTCAAAGGTTATGGATGGAATGATTAAGCGCTTCATCAAAGAAATAAGGACGTCTGTGCAAGCCAGCTTTACGCACGCTGCGGAGAACAAGCGTGATGGATTAACGCAGACGCAATCTGATCAAAGGTATTGAATACAATTAAAAGCAACTCTCAAGTAAAAATGACTGAACCTAAAACTGCCATTGAGGCAGAGGATCTTTTCAAATCCCTCACGGCCACACGCAGAGGGAAACTTGGAGTGTGCACAAGAAAACTAAATGAAACTAAAGCCCTGCTCACTGACGATGGAAATGTTGATGATGTTGATGATTGCATGGATATGTTTAAAACTGCGATGGATGAATTCAATAAAGTGCATCATTCTCTCCAACAACTCTTATCTGAAGAGGAAAAGGACATTGATGCAACGGACTGGTATGAACCCAGAATGATGAACTTTAATTACTTTGCAAAGGAAGTTAAAGCATGGAGAAGAGAACGTATTGCACAACTACAAGTTGATCCACTTGACAGTATCTCCAATGCCTCCAAAAGGACTTCAACATCAAGGGCCTCATCTGCTGCTAAGTTAGCATCAGCAGAAAGGGCAGCTCTGGAGGCTAAGTGTGCTGCTTTAAAGCACATGCATGCACTGCGACTGGAGGAAACCATTCTCAAATCAAAGATGGAAAAGGTGGAGATGGAATCACAGATTGCAGCAGCAGATGCCAAAATGAGGGTACTTCTCAGCCCACATGAGGATGATCATCTTGGGGATGCTATGAATGCTTATTTAGATGAAGAAGGTAAACTGGAAAATGTGGAGCAAACGTATACAGACACTTCTGTCTTGGAATTTATTGAAGTAGCTGCTGTACCTAAAACTCCACTACATAGAACAATTGTGGATTTCCATAAAATATCTCGGCAAGCAAATGGTGCATCAAGCCCACAACTGGAAAATCCTGCAATCAACATTTTTACTCAGGAAAACCTCAACACACTGGCACAGAGACAAAAGGACATAGCTGATCTCATGATAATGCAACAAAATATATCCCTGCTACCTAAGAGAGAGGTGCCTGTGTTTAATGGGGACCCACTCTCTTATCAACCTTTCATGCATGCATTCAGATACCTAATTGAAGAGAAAACTAGTAACTGCCAGGACAGGCTCTACTTTCTTGAACAGTTTACATCAGGTCAAGCCAGAGATCTGATCCGTAGCTGTCTTCACATGGATGCACAAAGAGGATATTCAGAGGCCATGCAACTTTTAAAGAGACACTATGGAAATGAAATGAAAATTGCAAATGCTTATCTGGATAAGGCACTCAACTGGACAGCTATCAAGCCAGATGATGGATAATCTCTTCATGCCTACTCACTATACCTAAGAGAATGCCTTAACGCCATGCAGGACTTGGAGTACATGGATGAGCTAGACGTCACATCAACGTTAAGACTAATTGTATCCAAGCTACCATATGAGCTCAGGGAAAGATGGCGCACAACAGCGTATGAAGAATTTCAAAAGAAGAACATCAGGGCTAGATTCAAACATCTGGTCGAATTCACCGAAAATCATTCTGACATATTATTACACCCAGTGTTTGGAGAAATTAAAGACTCAAATCCCACTAAAAGGATAATCACCAACAATAGGACAACTGACCTCAGAACATCTAAAAGGAGCAGTAACTTTGCCACGGCTGTCGCCGCAACTGAACGTCATGACACCAGGCTACAGGCATTTAAGGTGCAGCAACCCACCTACATCAAAGCTGCCCCTGCAACCCTATGTAGTTTCTGTCAAGGCAGGCATGCAGTAGTGGACTGCTTAAAACTAAAATCAGAGCCTCATGACCAAAAGGTTAATTATCTAAAGACAAATGGTTACTGTTTTGGTTGCCTTAAGAAGGGTCACATGAGCAAAGACTGTACATTGAAGCTAAACTGTCTAACATGCCAAAGGAAACATCCAACACTGCTGCATAGTGATGATTTAAATTCAAAACAAGTCACCCTGCAAAACAGTAGAACAGAACCAAAGCGAGCGTCCATCAACAGTGCGAAGGTATCAGCTGATCAGTCAACAGGGGCCGGTGAGGATTGTGCTCTTGCTATTGTTCCGGTGCAAGTTAAAGCAGCAAAAGGAAGCAAGTATATTCAAACCTACGCCTTTCTTGACCCTGGGAGCACGGCCACATTCTGTACTGAAAACCTAATGAACCAACTGAATACTAAAGGACGAAAGACTGAAATTCTACTCCGTACAATGGGACAAAAAAGGAATGCAAAAAGCTATGAAATCACAGGTCTGGAAATAGGAAACATAGATGGAGGACAATTTATCAACTTGCCCAAAGTGTATACACAAACTAAGATTCCTGTCTCAACGGAAAACCTTCTCACACACTCCGATCTTGAAAAATGGCCTCATCTCAGACATGGAGCACAGGGGAAGACAAGACTAAATACACAGAAGGGTAATCACAGGACAATACACAGCTGGGCAGGGGAGGAGAAACACAAGGGCAACAGGTGAACACACTCAGACAATTAGACACACCAGGGAAACTAACGACAGGGAGAGGGACCAGACATTATACAAAGAGGAAAACATTTCAAAACAAAGGTGGAAAACATAAATCCAAAACCTTG